GACAGGCTTATCTTCAGCTGTGAGTGAAAAGATGTCCGGTGCCATAGGAGCAGGGTTTCCAGCAGAAACTTGTTGGCCAACACTAATTCCTTCCTTATCATTTTGGTCAGGGCCTGCTTTGATGGAATATGGGCCTGCCACCTGAAAACTTAACATCAATGAACTGAAACTGGCAGTATTTCCATTCACATAAGGCAAGCCAGTAGTCGGCAATGGCATGGTCATTGAATATTCTGAAGCAGGTCTATTCCTATTTCTTTTCTTCGGCTCAGATGCTAAATGTCTCAAGACCTGTGGATCTTCTCCAACTGAAACAGGTATGGCACCACTCCCATTTAAATCTGGTATGTTAATAGTCTGTTTCACCTGAAGACCTGCTGAAGTTTGTTGCCCGTCAATTGTTGAAGGAGTTATCAGACTCATCACCTGCAAATCTTTTCCTGATAAGCTACTTGTATTGACGGTTATATTAACATCCGATAGGCCAGAGAGAGACTTTATCTTTGATTTCTCCAACTCAGCATGCTTCTTTCTCTTTGCTGTCTTATTCTCAGGATTAGAACTCAGTGTTCCCTTCTTCAACTCAGATTTAGTGAAGGCTGAAGTGAGGTTATCATTATGGGGATTATTACGTAACAAGCCAGGATCAACAGCAGTAGCCTCCTTCTGACTAGCCATATTCTTGCAGTAAGTCTCATAAATAGACTCTTCATGATATACTGAAATTCTGAATCTGGAAAAGAACCACTCAGTCAAACCAAAGGTTTTACTCTCAACTGGATACAAGCAATCCACAGCTGTAGAAAGGAGTTCAGAAAGAAAATCAGCAGAAGAAGCATTAATCAGCTCTGGATTAGATGACATATCATTCCCACTAACGAATTTCTTAAACCATTTCTTTTGGAACCTCTTGGCACTACTTTTAACATTGGGAGGAGGGCTAGTAGACTGATCAGCTTCTGCTTCACTCTGCACGTTATTATTCACCCAGTTTACATAGGGATATGACAAATATCTGCTCTTCCTTCGTTCTCTCAATTCAAAGCCCTTCTCATTTTTAATTTTGATCTCTCCATCACCGTTTCCTTCAGTAGAAACAATGCCTTCTGTTGTACTTAAAGATGGGAGGAGACCTGCTTCCTCTTTTTCAGCTGAAGAAAGCAATATGCCACAATCAAGGCCTTCAACATGAATGCCGTTTCTCATTTCAGGATCATCCTTCCCCTTTCTCTTCTTTGAACTGGGTGGCAATTTCCCCGAGACAATCCCTTCTCTAGAAACAATGTGTGTACAGTCCCCTGGCATGATATCCATGTTGCCACCCAAGACCAAAGTCAAATCTTTATTCTTATTTGGCTGTGAAATTTCACCCTTTCTTGCATCCAACCTAATTCCAGCAATCTCTTCACCACCAATTATCTCACAGAGTGTATGCAAGGGCAACTGTCTATGTCCTATAAAACAATAAAAAGCTGACAAACGAGACAGTGCAACAGTAAACTCAAGCATGCCAGGCTTTGAAGTTTCCACAGCAAGATTCTTGAGTTGCGAGAGCAATTCTGCAGGTTCAAACTTGACAACAGAAAACTCCCCAAGTTGACTAGATTTGCACCCTGGCATAGCCACTCCTTGCATCACTCCAGAACCACCAGCTGAGACCTGATTTTCTTTCAGAAAACAAGAACAAGTCATCTCCAGTTTGACACACTTGCCAAACTCATAGACAGCCCTCTCTACTGCACCAAGAAAGCTCCTAGCTTTATTTTGCCCAGACATTTGTTCAAATTTCAGATGAAAAGGCCTTAACTGAGAAGGGTGGCACCAAGCAACGTGGCTGTTTCCAAAATACCCAACCAGGAGGCAATTCCCCTGTCCACCCTTCAGAACATATTCTGGTGCAAGCAGAGGATTGATGACTCTTCCTGGCCACCAACTCAGATTTTTGGTTTTGATCCATACAATATCACCCACAAAGAGCTTGTATTCTTGACCATCAATTGCATCCACCTCTTGAATGATCTCAGGTCCCCCAGGCTCCTCCATCCTCACCATTAACCTGGAAGAATTGGTACCATCAGGGTTCCCTTTATTTGCCTCAGAAAAATCCACATAAAGTGATATGTGGTCTCCGGAAACTTCAAACTTCCTAACTGAATCAACTCTATTAGATACTAACACGTCATCCCCCTTCATCCCCACCTCTCTCACAGTTTTCCCATGCACATTTTCTTCACATGAACCACCCCACAACCCTACCAACCTTCCATTTGAAGCTATCCCCATGGTTCCTTCTTGACCCTTTTCAATCTCAACAACACCACTACCATTCTCTTCAATGCCAGTCACTGTGTTCACATCCTCAGCCAAACTTTTCCCCTCAATGGCATCACCTCTTACAGCACCATTCCCGTCTGCATCAATCCCTTTGCCATTATGTTGAAGCTGAAACATCAAACTGGATGCAAAACCAGAGGACCCAGAGGGTTGTATAAGGGCTTTAGCATCCGGGCATAGAGCCCCTAGGGTTTCTGGAGGTTTAGGGCCCTCCATTGTGAAGAATATTTTAACCAAACACCTTCACTTATATATTTTCCAATCTATCAGACTCAGAAGTCAGGATCACTTCAAAGCTGATCAAGAACAGAAATTTAAAACAAAAATCAAAACTTTATCCTCTCCCCACTCATATAAACGATTCAAACCCAAAAAAAGGGGAACAAAAAAAATCGAAAAAACTACAAGGAAAAACGATCTTACACTTCAACCATTTAATCGAAACAAGAAGAAGAAATTAGAGTTAGAAAGAAGAAAACAAGTACCTGCAAATAGAAAAGGCAAACCCAGGGATTCACATTCTGAGCGGAGTCGACAACCCGCTGCGGTTCCACTCATCCGAGTGAGATAGGTTTTCAAGTTACAGCATCTGAAGAGTACGGCGTTGGCGACAGCCGACAGCACGGTGTGCTCAACTAAAACTACACAGTGATATTTGGTCTCAGAAAGGTCAACTTATAAAAGAAAATGGAAAATGAGGAAGGAAAGGAACCCATCTTTGTTGTCTTGAATTCTAGAAATCAATTCTAAAAATCGATTCTTGATTTTTCTATTTTTTAAAGGATGTAATTTTGCAGTCTGTTTTTTCATTCTATGCTTCACTATTTTGAAAATTTTTTAAGGAATTTTTTTTAAAAAAAAAGATGCTATAAAATTAAAATATAATAAAAAAATTAAAATATTTTTAATAATTAATACATATAAAATATTTATTAAAAATATTTAAATAATTTGATAAAGTGTTTAGATGTTTAAAGTAAATGGTTTTTTTTTTTTTTAACTTTTCTCTTTTTAAATTAAATTAGTTTTAAATTTGAACATCT